ACGTTACTCCTTAAGACCCAGATATAGCAAAACATTCAGAGTATCTCACCTGGCTGTCCTCAGGGCTTTGCAACGTTCCTCAGGCTTAACGAAGAATCCCTTGAAAAAGTCCAAATCCTTCTTTCCTTTTCCACATCACAGACTTACTCTACAGTTGCCTAAGGAGAAGGGCACCCATCCAACACCGATTCCCATCGCCAGCAGCGGAGGAAGGCTGCAGAAACACGCCTGAGAAGAGGCTGCAGAAGACAGGTCAGCAGGAGCAAAGTGAGGTAGGGCCCTGGAGAGGGTCTGTTCGCGCAGGGTGGCCAGCGAAGGAGGACAGTCCCTGCCTGGGCTGCCTGTGCCCTCTTGTGGCTGCCTGACTATGTTGCATAGAGTAGGACTAAAAAACTAAAAAAATTAATTACATCTCTTTCTGAAGACAGCTCTCAATGCGAAACGTGGCTGCTTGACGCCGGACAGCTCAGGAACCAAAAGCACAGAGCAACTTTACCGTCACCTGAGCACAGACAGCAGCCCGCTCCGGACCCGTGAGGGAAGGGCCATGCAGACACAGGTTTGAGTTGGCAGGAGGACAACCCTTCTAATGACTTCTCCCATCTGCTGTTGGCCCTGGTGGCTGCCTGCAGTCTCCTCCTTGAAGCCTCCATCCATCCAGGGGAAGTTGTTCTGGCTCTCCTGGCCAGCTCCCCCTCCGCTCCTCTACCCCAGCACTGGCAGCAAGGGCCCAAGCAGGACGGGCAGACACCACCAGCTCTGTTCCTGCTTTGTGATCACCAGTTGGTTTCCTTCTTCGTGCCCAGATGTCTTAGAAAATGGTAACACCACGTGAAAAACCGGTGACATCACTTTAGAAAAAGGCACGGGACCTTTGGGTAAGCACCGCTGCTATCCGTTGGGGTTCTCCACATCCCAGAGGTGGCAGCCCCTTCCTCTGGGCACCTGTTGAAACCAAACTGCCTCCAGCTCCCTTCTCCTCTCCCTCCCACAACGTCAAACGCCAACGAGTGTGGATCCAGCCAGGGTGAATCTCATGCACCCTCACCAACCTGGACAGGCCAGGGAAACTTGAGAGCAGCAGCGAGGCGCCTCATCCCATCAGAAGAAGGCAATGCCCATGTTTACAGAGGAATGGAAAGGGAAAAGGATGATGGGGAGGTTTAGGGGCCTGGCTGAGTGTCCCAGGGCACTCTGAGCCGGGAGGACACACGACCCCAGTTCCTGGCTTGAAACACAGCATGGGGAAGGTCACGGTGATGTTTCCGTCTCGCCGTCACAGCAAGCGCCAGCGACTGGGTCTCAGAGTTGCACAAGAACAGGAAAAAACGGTGCAGGCCTGACCACCCTCGCACCAGCACGAACCCAGAGGAGGCCCACGGCGGGGGGGGTTCAGTGGTTCGTTGCCCCACGCTGGGGAGCGCCTCAGCGCTGCACGCTCGCCCTGCCTCACCCAGAGACACGAGGTTCCCTGGGGCCAGTCTTTCTCTTACTCATCCTCACCCAAGTTTACCTCTACTGTAAGAGAAGCCTCAGGTCCCAGAACTGCTATTGCCATGAGGTCTAACGCTGTTTTCTGCTCTGGCTGTGCCTCTGTCTCATTTCCAAAGGCCTTTGATGTTTTGCCTTTTCCCTCCCCTGCCATCACCAACGGTACAAGAGATCTTCCACGTTAACGTCCGCGGCTAAACAGAGGAGGAGAGCAAACGATTTTAGTGAGCCCAGAGCAACCCACCTTCCCAGCCTGAAGACCTGAAGCTCTTGAGAGCCGTGGCTGCTGCAGGGCAGGCACACGCTGCGCCCATGATCAGCTGACATCTCACTTGTGCTCGTCTCTGCTGTGGCACGGAGAGCTGCACAGGGGCTGGGGCCGGGGGAACCCAGCCACAGTCCCCTTCTCCTGCTATAAAGGACAAGAAAGGGCCTGCAGGAGCTGGACCCACCTTTGGATAAGGAAAGGCAGCCTTTTTCAGACCAAGTTGCAGCTAAAAGCAGGCGGAATTACCTGAACAGCAGAAGCCAGTTCAGTCCCCAGTGCTACAACCCGCGCTTGCCAGCTCCTGCCTCTGCATCCGAAGCCCCAGGCCCCCATGCAGCCAAGGGAAGACCTGCCAAGGGAGAGTCAGTGATCCAAAAGTCTCTGGAGAAGAGAAACGTTCACTCTACGCCCTGAAGGGCCCATTGGTAATGGCAGCTTCTGAAAGGGTCCCACCACAGTTCCCGATAGGAAAAGCAGGAGATGGCTCAGTCCTGCAAAGAGAGGAAGGAAGAAGATCCTCGAATTAACCAGCCTTGGGGACAGCAGGCATAGCCCTTGCAATGCTTCAAGCCAGTAAACTGAACCAGATGAGCAGGAAAAACCCCTCAGCCTCGCTCAGAACCACACAGGCCTGCCTTGTCACAAGAAATACCTGTGATAAACCTCCGTTTGCTACCAAAAACACTGTCACTTAATTCCCTGGTGAAATCAGGGAGTAGCCAGCTACAGGAGGGGCAGATCGATGAAGCAACTCATCCAAACCCCAGTCCCTCAGGGCACACGCAGTGGCAAGAGAAGCACAGAGCACCACGCCAGCCAAACTTGCTTTTTCTCTTGTCTACCGAGCACACACACCCCAACCAACCCAACCCTAGAACTGCAATCAGACCTTTACAAAGGTTAATAGCAAATGTTTATTTTCCTTTATTAAAGAGCAGGGTGCAACCATCCCGCTGTTAACGGAGTGACTTCATTTACAATTGCTCTTTGTTTTAAAGGTAAGACAACCTTAGACAATTCATTTCTCCAATTCCTTTCATCTCAAAGTGCTTTACAAAGTGACACTGGGGAAAAAAAAAACCAAACAAAAACGATCCCACAAACCAAAACATCTCCTACATAGAGAGATCATCTCATTCCCAGTGCTGCAACGCAGCCACGTCTGTTGTGCAATGTAGCAGCTAATGGCACAGGATGACATGTAGAGATCAAAAGGTCAGGGGGAACAGATACAAGGAGAAACTGCCAGGGATAGCATTTATCTGAGCTGAAATCTGCAGCTGGGGAGAGATTATTTCTATTTTCTCCTCTTGAAAAGCTGATGTCAAATTGCCACGAGTCTACAGACACCACCAAAAGACATGCAGGTTTATCACTAGCTCAAGACCCAGCCCAGCTTTTACTCAAAGACATATTTTCCAGGCATTTACTCCACATTTGAAACACATTTCTTTGGTGAGGAGCAGCAGATGCATGCACTCATCTAGCTAAGGTGAGCGGCACGAGTTGGGGCACTCAGCCAGAACCGGGGTGTGAACAACGTGGACTTGCAGGTCAGCCCTTTCTGAGGTGAAAGAGGTGGATTCAAAGCTAGTTTGCATCGTCAGGAATGTGTTCTCCCAGCTCTGGGATAACGACTCATGTTTCACATCGCTACTAACCCCTGGCAAACAATACCTATGCCAGTACACCTACAGGGAAAGGAGGCCCCTGAGGAGCAACTCAGCACCATTCTCCAAGTGTGCTCAGTGACAGGAAAGCTTGTGCTCATGGGGGGCTGCCACAGAAGGTTCAGATCTGCTGTGAAACTGTCCTTGTATTAGGTTCCAAACAAACCCCGTTTGTCTTCCCCACCTATTCCTCCTTCTCCTGGATAAATACCAGAGCAGCTCAGGTCATTTTCTTCCACTGAAGATACAGAGTTCCTACTGTAGCATCTCACAGGAGAGGATGAAACTTAACGGAGCTGAGGATGGTGATCTGGTTCTGGGCACCAAGTTGCTAAGACGGGAGTTGGGATGATGGCAGGAGGACAGGGTGACATGCCAGTCAAGAGTACAGAAACACAGATGAAACCTCCGTGGGTGGTGGTGGCTGAGCCGATTCCAGTCACTGAAAAAAAGGCTAAATTGGCTACAAAACACTGTCATGGCTTTAACACAGTTCTGTACGGACGAGCCTGGGCCTGAGCTCAAGCTATAGCTAGCGACATCCTTCCCTGCACATTTTAAGGCATACAGGAACCACAGCCCCATCCCTCGCACGTGCACACAAAGATGTCTCAGGTTTCCTCACTGGGGACGGCAGGCCAGGAGAAGCTGGGTTTCCCAGGGGACATGCATCTCTAGGTCTGATGTAATACCTGGGGAAGAAATCTGTGTGTCCAGCCTGGGTGTGCTCCTTCTGGAGACCAAGAACCCGTCTGGGACCACAGTTTCTATCCAAGCAACAGGGCCAGTACTGCCCAAAGCTACCCGAGAGCAGGAACAGCTCAAAGGCGTCCATCTGGGGGCTGAGGTTTGTATCCAAGAGCACCACGGGGGACTTCTGCACCAAGGATTATCACGGGGCACCACCCGTCAAGGTCCACATCTGCCTGTGACAACTCCAGCAGCTTCTCTACACCAGGAGAAACCATCCCGCGCCGACTGCAGCCAAGCTGGGGCCAGCTGCGAGTTATGCGACTTCCCGGCTCGCTTTCTTCTGCCGAAGGCCCCAGGTGCTCAGCTCCGGCCTCTGCTCCGGCTGTTCCCTCAGCCTGGATTACCCCGTGCCAAATTGCAAGCTAAAACCAGAAACAAACCCCTCTTTGTGACTCAGTTGGCAGGAAGCTCCTCTTGCAGGCTCCTTTAAAAGGAACAAGGAAGTACTTGGAAGGAGGCTGTTCACGGCTCTCCGTAAGATTATTGCGTGCTGCTGGCATCTGCAGGGCCGTTAGGGGAGCAAGTGGTCAGCAGGACCCAGGTGTAGGGCTGGGCACAGCACCCTCCACCCCAAAAAAACGCGTGGAAGAGATGGACAGACAGCCAGCATCTGTCCTGAGAGACTTGCTTACAAAGAAGGTCCAGGACTCCTGCCTTGCACAGGGCTGGCCTCAGACTATGCCAAAGCAGACTGCATATAAAAACAAAAGTTTTTTTAAAAAAAAATGGATATACACTGCATATAGGAGATTCCCTCCCTATAGAGGACAGTCTCTAGACGGCCACCCCCGAGCAGCCAGGGCCAGCCCAGCTCTGAGGGGTCGCTTGGCAGCTGCCTCCCGGTCACAGTTGGAGACGTGAGACAGCTGAACGTAGAACTTGTGCTTCTCGCTCCTTGATCAGCTCCAGGCAGCGGGAGGGCGGGGAGGGAGTAAGGCCCACTGCAGGAGAGGCACTGCGTTCGTCTGTTGGACAAGCTGTTCACTCAGGAGCAGTTTCCTTCCGTGCTCAGGTCTCTGCTTACATCTCACTGGGATAAAACCCAAGTTTGGCCAGAGACATCTCCCTCCGGAGCCGCATGACCTCCCAGTACATCAGCTCCACTGCACAGCAAAAAGGGGGTAGGGAAGAGGAGGAGGGAAAAAAAAAAAACACACAACACCAAAAACAATGAAAAATCAGTAAGTGAAGCATAGCTGGACACCACGTCATGTTCTGCTGCGCTCTCAGTGCAGCCCAGCCAGGCTCACCCCCAAAGTGAGGGAAGCAGACATGCTGGAGGGTCCAGCGGGAGAGGCCCATCAGGTTTACCCCTTACCAGCTCCACCCCGGGGCAAAGCTCCCAACAAGCTGAGGAGCAAGGAATGGGTGCATCTAGTCCTCCCGCCTCTCTTGGCCCGTTTAACTGTTCCTCAAAGACACAGGGAGTTCAGGGTACCCCAAGCTGCCCCTGTTCCTGTCACACCGAACAGGACCTCTTAATTCCACCCCAGAAGGCAGCCCCACCACAGCCAGCTGCTATCCCCCTCTTACCATCCTGCCTCACCAAGCCCTGCTGGATATAGCGAATGTATGTGAAGAAGTTGCACACCGCTGTGATCTGAGGGAGAGAGGAGAAAAAAAAAAAATAGTGTCAGCTACAGAACAGCTTTGCCTGTCAAGAGGCCTGCACAGCACCCAGCTCTCAGTGTTCAGCATCGGAGAAATAGTACCATGTGCCACCAGACGGAAAGAGATAGGAAGAAAACTGGTGTAAAAAAAGAAATAAATAAAAATTCTGGGCATCCACAATCCCATCCCAAGGTATTACATGTCCGTGAGAGACACTGTAAAACAACTCCAATCTACTGCAGATTCGAGACACAAGTAATCACTACGTAAGGTGGCAGCAAAGTCCATGATCTTCCTTCAAAGAGCACTGTTCTCCAACGGAATGAAAATGTTTGGAGCTCAAGGTTTGTGCAGAAAGCGTGTGGGCAGGGGGGGAAGGGC